AAAAAAAAAAAAAAAAAAAAAAAAAAAAAAAAAAACTAGCCTCCCCCTGCCGCCGCTTGCCTGGCGTTGAGTATCGATTGCATATTTCAGGTGTACATACACCTCAACTGCATGCGCTAAATTATTTATTTTTTTATTTTTTTTTTAATTTTTATTTATTTATTTAATATATTTACATGCAGTATTTATAATTATGAATATAAAGCGAGATCAGCAGCAGCAGCAGCAGCAGCAACAGCAGCAGCAGCAGCAGCAGCAGCGATCCCAGCAGCAGCAGCAGCAGCAACATTGAGGGTTTAGGGTTTAGGGTTTAGGGTTTATATATATATTTAAAACTAAAACATTTATTTTTTGTTTTTTTTGTTTGCTTTTTTATTAAAAAAAAAAAAAACAAAAAAAATACATCGCTAGGGGCCCCTGCTCTCCTTCTATCGATGGAGCCTCCTAAACCCTAAACCCTAAACCCTAAACCCTAAACCCTAAACCCTTGAGAAGGGTTTAAGGATTTATTGAGTGCAATACTCACTTTAATGAGTTACTGCAGCAGCAGCAGAGATAGGGGGGCCCCCCAGGGGGGCCCCCTGAAGGGTTTGTTTATATATACAGCTAGGGGAGCTGCCTATACACCCCAACGGGGTTGCTGCTTCTCTCTTTATAAATATTTTTCTCTCTGTCTTTGTCTCTGTATCTTTGTCTCCTTTTGTCTCCTTCAATGCCCTGCTGCTGCAGCAGCAACAGATAAAACCCTCAGCAAGGGAAACACAAACCCCAAGGACGGCAATGAACNCCTGCTGCTGCAGCAGCAACAGATAAAACCCTCAGCAAGGGAAACACAAACCCCAAGGACGGCAATGAACTCGTCACGGTAACCCTAAACCCTAAACCCTAAACCCTAAACCCTAAACCCTAAACCCTAAACCCTAGACGCTGAGAATATTTGTATGACATTCGTTTTGCATCTATTAGGGTTTAGGGTTTAGGGTTTAGGTGTGTTTTTGTTGCTGCTGTTGTTTGTGGTGTGTATTTTATAATTCTCGTTCTAGGGTTTAGGGTTTAGGGTTTAGGGTTTAGGGTTTAGGGTTTGTGTGCAGGTGTCAGTAGCAATCCCTGAGTTTATAAATAAGGGTTTAGGGTTTGAGGGTGACGAGGGTTTGTCTCTGCTGCATGCATTCTCTTGGGGTTCTCCTTCTAGGGTTTTAGAGCTTCGTGTTGCTGCAGCAGCAACAGCAAAAGAGCTGCTGCTGCTGCTGCTGACGGCGCATTCTGCTGCAGCAGAAGAGGTGCTGCAGCAGCTGCAGCAGCAGCAGCAGCAGGAGCAGCAGCAGCAGGAGCAGCAGCACGAGCAGCAGCAGCTGCAGCAGGTTCTTAATAGTACTCCTTCGCTGCAGCTGCTGCAGCAGCAAATTGAATCGCAGCTGCAGCAAGCAGCTACCTGCAGCAGCAGCAGCAGCAGCAGCAGCAGCAGCAGCAGCAGCAGCAGCAATGAATGTATTCAAGAACGAACGCATGCAGTTGGTGCTGCTGCTGCTGCTCTTGCTGCTTCTGCTGCACCTCAGCTGCATGCATCTTCGTTGCTGCTGCGCTTTACTTTTGCTGCTGCTGCTGCTGGCGGCAGGAGAAGTATTATGAGGAGGCGCAGCAGCAGCAGCAGCAGCAGACGCAGCAGCAGCAGACGCAGCAGCAACAGAAGCAGCAACAGAAGCAGCACGAGAAGGAGACAGGAGGCAAAGAAAGATACTGCAGCAGCAGCAGCAGCAGCAGCAGCAGCAACACCAGCAGCAGCAGCAGCAACACCAGCAGCAGCAGCAGCAAGAAGGAGAAAGAAAATATAGATACAAAAAAACAAAAAGGGAGACAGAAAGAG